GCGATGGGAATTGAACCGGGGATCTAGAGATCTCCACGGTTCAGCGCACACACAGTGGCTACCACCAGATTAGCCGACTGAGCTAAGCTGCTCGGGTAATCATTTAAATAGCAGATGAAAAATATAATTAAGAGAATCAGATGTAGATCGTTGAAAACAAAAACCAAACTGAAAGTTGGAAAAATTAGACTGCACAAAACAGTATTAACGGAAAGAGTAAAAAATTTAGCCTGGAAAGGAGCACACGAATAAACAAACAGCTTAATAACAAAGTTACGAAGATTGTCAGGACCTGGAGATTTAGAGTTACTAAGATTTTTAAGATGCAGAGATAACGTCAGATGGGGTGATATTTAAAAAGTCATGCAAGAGGTGAGGCACATGAACACGGGATAGAAAAAGGAGAGTTAGATAAACATTTTACTAGCAAATATCAAATCAATCTGCTAGGAAATAACACGAAGTGAATTAATGGGTGTACCGTTGTGGGATTTAAAAGTTTGCGAGTAGGACTTACTGTATTGCTGGTTTGTATTGATGTTTTGTACTTTTGACCGCCAGTTACATCGCACGTCCATCGTAAACGGGGTCCGTGACCTCAAACATCAATATACACCTCATAAGTTATCGAATATCATTCGAAATGAATATCGTGATGGACCACATGATGATTATTAAATAAAAAAGGTTGTGAAAATCATATCTATTATCGGTGTATGACGATTGATGCCATACAAAGAATGTTTAACTTTACAAATAATTAATTTCACGCCATTTATCCTGTTCACACAATACCTATTTCACGTAAAATATTGATCGCAATGAATTTATATGCATGTAAAAGGAGCATCATATTTTCGGTTATATACTGATTACAGCTCAATTATCAGTTACAAACAATATTTAATAATGTTTAATGATGATTAAAAATCATGGTGTCTTTTTTTTATTAAATCAATTCAACAATAATAATAATATTCTTAATTAAAGGTGATTGTGATAACGACAGCAATAATGATGACACTAACGATAGCAACAACGGTAACGATAGCAATAATGGACTTGGACATCATACTAATATTAATATTTTTTATTTATTTATTTTTTGTAAAAGCGCCAGTTCCAAACCAAATCAATGATCAAAGGCGCTGATCGTTATTACCTCTGATCAATGGATATACAACGGCAAACCAGCACAAAGTGCAACCTTCTATGCTCACTGGGAGTATACCTAGTTGTAATAATATTGTTACCAACATAATTTCACTTTTCACTATACTGACTATATACATGATACTAATGCTCTACATAGAATAAATGTTGTTCTCAGGCATAATGAGTGGATTTTATTACAAAAAAAAATCAGGTGAAACAGGATTAAAACACATTGCCAATTAAAGGCAACCTGTTTATAACTGGCAACATTATTAATAGTTTACATTTGCTTAATAATAATATTATTTATTTTTTTCTTTTTTTGAAGGGACTTGAGTTATAACCAAATAACTGAACTAAACAGAGGTGTATTCAGTGGTTTGACTAGTCTTCAAGTATTGTAAGTGACAATTTACAAGTTATGAATAATTCTATTATCATATCAATTATTTTTAATTAATGCATGATTGTTTCTGATTGTGATAAATTGTAATAATATTATTTTCTCGAACTTTAAATCATACAAAAAAGGGTGATGTTTTTAAAACGAAATCACAATTCAAATGCAAAAAAAAAATAATATATATATGAGAATCTAAAATTTTTTAATAATTGTTTTGTATACAGCATCTACAGTAATACTCTAATAATTTGGTAATTATTTACATAATAAATCCTGTAGCATGCATGACATTAGCCTACCATTTCATTAAAAATCATGGTGTTTTTTTTTTATTAAATCAATTC